ACCAACATACTCATGGTCGTCAGATTCAGAACCAGACAGTCGAAGATTCATCACAGCGCTGTTTCGGTGACACACCACACATCAGTACCAAGAGAATGAAGAGTGAGCCATTGCTGCCTCCTGGCCGATCTGACCTACAGTACGAATGTTAAAGGAACCCACGTGAAATCAAACTGGGTTTTATGCGAAAGCTGCATGTATCGATGTCAGCAGCTGCGATGTCAGTGGCAGTCTCCTGCTTAATAGATGAAGGGGAGAGGGGGGAGATCAAAACAAGAAGGACTATTGTTGACGTAGTCTAGAGCTGATGATGCTCTACGGCTGCCCATCCCGAGAGAGGGGTTTTGTTCGTGTTCTGCTTTTGACTCAACAGTCTGATCCACAAGGCAGTGGGATACATGTAGGTTTGCTTGAGGGACTCCACCCGGAGCCTTTGCCTCAGCCGCCTGACCCACAAGGCGGTGTGGAGTAATTCCAGCTCGGGTGTGTGATTGCAGCCCAATTGGGATGTGCTTGTGGACTGTCACACACAACCTTTGAAGATTTAGTACGATACACCTATGTTTCACAACTGTATTACGTTAAACACCTGCGACCGTGGCCAGCATCAGGTGGAAATTGATGGGTTCGCACTAATTCGACCAAGGGCGGCCTGGCCTGAGGCGAGCGCTAGCGAACCACTGAGGACCGGAAGATGCCTTCCCACGGTCAGAGGGAATGCGGGGCGCTCGTGCACTACACCATTCGGGCTGTGAGGTTATAACCTGTTTTCTCCCGTGACTAGGTTTTAAAGGAAGTGCGCCACCGACCTCTCCCTAACCTACGATGAGGATTGGCTCATGAGACTGAGTTCGTCTGACCCCGAACTATTGACGTGTTTGGTATGAGTGGCTCTGAAGGCGCTTGGAAAGGTCCGCGTAGCATAGTTCAATGGGTTAACCATCGTTTCACGCTAAGGTCCAGTATCGTTGCGATGGATGAAGCGAAACACACTGTGACTGTTTCCAATCGATGCAACGGCTTCCATCTCAGCAGCACACATAGACCATCAGGATTCACGGTAATAGCGAAGGCTTGGTTTCAATTGTAGAGAAATAGACTGACAGATTTGGTGCGTTCCGCGCCGGCCGGCACGGCGCGTCGATGGTCTAGAACTTCCGGGAATGTTGCAGAGATCCAGCTATTAGCTGTGCAGTGGACGAGGCCGCAACTGGGCAAACCTGCAGACAGCATGCCGTTCTGCAAGCCTAACCAGTTCTGGTCCGTATCCTAAGAAGAGGATAGATCGAGGTTTTCACGAAGTCTCTGTTTGTACTGCACGTCTTCCCATTTGCAAATGTTCAGTCGGGTTTGTTTGGCCCTTGGGGAGCCACCGAAGCGCATGCAAACTGTCGCGCACATTAATGCATGATCGGTTTCCACACAATTTTATCAATCTGATCGGCGATCCCGCATGCTTCCGCGCCACCTTCGACTTATGGCTATGTGGTCACTTTGCGACCGACGCTAGGTTAATACTGGAGGATTCCTGATGGCAAAGTGGCGCCTGGGGTGACGGATGCATGTACTGAAGAGGAAATGTTGATGATCGCCACACAGACTGAGCAATCTTTCTCCATTATCCGAAGGAACATCATCATGTCCATGTGGTCTCCCAAAGTGGCATTCAAATGGAAGCAGCCGACCAACACCTGAGTTGAGGTCTCCTGTTTTAATGATGATGTCCGTCTTAAGTACCCTTGGGAGCAGATCATGAAGTCTTCGATCGAACTGGTTTTTGACTGCATCCGATTTGCAGCCAATGGGGCCATAGGCGCAGGCTACAAAAAGAGCACGCTTCTCGGCTCGATGTCTGCTAACCTTGCATGAGCCATGGAACCTAGTAGCACAGAGACGACTATTATTTGGAATCCACTCAAGGAGGGAAGCTTCGGCTCTAGCACTGAGCGCAATCCCAACACCAAGTTGCCCAGAAATGGAAGTCTCAGCGTCACCAGAAAGGCAGAGATGAAAACGGGTGTGGTGGTGGAGTGGCGCTGATAGCTGGTAGACTGTGTTAGAGTCCTGAACTCCTATCTCAGTCAGGCAGCAGACGTCAATTGCCAGGGTTTCCAAGGCACATGCCAGTCCCGCTTGTGATCTGATCTGCAATAGAGTGCGCGCACTTAATGTTGCTAGCTTGAACCGGGTACCAGGTTGCAGAAGCGATGGTAGAAGACCTTGTGGTTGAGTTGGAGAGCCTTGATGGGACGGGTTCACCGATGGAGACCGAGTTGTTCACCTTCGAAGTATCTGGTAATGAAGTGACTGAATGATGCCAAGGAAAGAATGGTAATTGGGTGGCATGTGATTGTGAAACTGGTGCAGTAGCATGAGCGTAGAACATGGTGGGAGCGAAAGCGAGCGTGTGTTTCAGTGGTTCGTCAGTAGGCGAGATACTACCCGGTTGCTTAGGCCGAAGTAGAGACTTGTCTTAGTGGACTCCACCCGGAGTGTTTGGCTAAATCTCCTATCCACAAGGCAGCGGAGCGAAATCAAGAAATCGCACCCATTGGCAGCCCGTGACCGGTTCATACGCCTTTCGTTTGGTCAGGTACGAAACAGAGGCACAATCCTTTTCACAAGTTAAGTAGCAAGCTGCTGGAATAGAATACTCCATCGGAGGGAAGCAAATGGCAGTGGTCTTATTTATGGCGAGTTACTTTCGCCACGTCGCAGTGTTGTTAAACGGATATTCGTGGCTTTCTATAGGGAGAACCCTTGCCAGGCAAAAACCCACCACATCCTGGAACACTGCTGCCGAACCATTCGCTGGAACGGGAAAACCTCGAACCACCCAGCTTGCACCACGAGGAGGTTGTTCGGCAGGCCAGGCAAACAACCTTCTATTCTCTGTTTTCCTTGTTGTATACTTTTTCCTTTATATCACTGCCCTGTGGTAGCTTAGTGCACAATGCAACTTCTCATCTCAAACTGGTGCATCACTTGACTATCTTGTCCCTAATACCGAACCTGTTGTAGACGATTTTCTAAATTGGACAGTCGATTAAATATCTTAAACGAGCATACGAATATTGCTCATGATTAATTTAATCTGGTTACGGTTCACTTTCTTCTAAGAGAGCACCTTTTTTCCCGATGTCAGTTATTAATTTGAAAGAACAAATTCCACTACGCTGACTCTTGCAAAGTGCGTGGTTTGTGCAACCGGCATGTAGATGGAAGAAGAGGAGGGGAGACCAAGCGATGACTTGTTCCGGAGCAATGAAGTCCCTCACTTCGAAATTGGGTTCATTTGGTGTCCCCGACTGCAAGGCTGCATCTCCTAGGACGATGTATACGTTTGGTTGGACGCACTTCTTGAAACAGCGGAGACTGAACTCAGTGGCATTCGTGTTATTAAAACATGATATCAGCAGTTCGCCGGTACGCAGCACCGACGCTTTGCTGCCCCGTAACCTCCATCAGTGGCATGTTGGCTAAGGATACTGTGTAAGTCACCCGGTCACTTGCGCAGGCTCGTATCCGCACCCTCGGATTACAAAGCAGGTTTGTGATCCTTTAGGCCACGAGCCAGTATTCGTGTTATGAGTTTCACTGCTCCTTTTCCTTCGCTCCCCCCAACAATAACGATCTCACACTCTGTACATGGTTGGCGGCATCCGGTTTCGGATTTGCCTGTTACTGTGGCCAGACACAGGACGCCGGCGCCTACAGAGGGACCATGGATGGCTTGCGCTGCACCACCCACAGCTCCTACCACACACCCCATATCCAGTGTAAACCCGAAGGAATAAGACCGGGAGGCATGTAGATGGGAGCCACGTTTCATCAACGGAGCCGGCCCACACTCCTTCACAGGCAAACACAAGCACGCTGTACTTGGAAAATCAAGTACACACAAGGCGGTGGCTGGACCGTAGCCCGTTCCACACTGAGTGCATGGAACCACTCTTCGAGCCTAGCACCACCACAAGGACCGTGCACCCCTTCCCCTCCAGCAACGACCAACTGTCTCCTGGAGCCAGTATGGACGAGGTAGTGGGTAATAGACAGGTAGGCACCTTGTCAACATTCACATCAAGCGCAGGCACACCTGGGATGTCAAACGACAGCCAATCATTCGAAATGCCGATATCGAATAAAGTAGACGCATATGACGACATAACTACTCGCTAAATGCGCATATAGAAGAAATTGTTTATAAGTGAATCCGCATTAAGTACAAAATGTCCGAAAGTTATTTTAAAAATACCACGCGATAAAATTATTCAAGTTTACCACAGTTTGCATGAGCGACGTGTGCAAGTTGGGAGAAGATTATCAAGTACGCAGAACAAACCAAATAAACCGGAAAGAATTTTATCCACATTAAAAAGATCTAGTTTAAGTGCAAGTTGGTTTAGCCCAACTGCAGTGAAGAAGCATCATGAATGCAATATCAGCCTCAACATGGGACACTCCGTACATAATGTGATGCTTAGCATCATATTACTTATTTCTTTTTACCCTCGTGTTCTTTATGTTTTGGCATCTCATCTTTTTGCATTTCGACACAATAACTAGGTGTGTTTCTCACCCTCAGCTAAAGTGTGTTGATGATACTAATGGTTGTGGTGATGGTGAGGAATTTTAGAGATAATTTATGAACAGTATTCCCTCATTTGCGGTTGACAATCGGTTGAAATGAATCTCCACATATTAGATTGTGTAATTTTGACTTTTGCATCTTTTCGTTACCATGGCAGTTTGAGTTTTAACAACCGAATCCACCGCTATCCAACTCTTGCATGTTTTAATTATTCTGATTGGATCTTATTTTCTCCGTTTTTCTACTTACTTTTTCCTCGATATCATTGCCATGTGGTGGCTTAGTGCACAATGCAACTTCTCATCTCATATTGGTGTATCACTTAGCTGACTTGTCCCTCCGTGTATCTGATTGACTCCCGCACTTTCCAACTAGCTGTCCAGTGTTTTTCTATCCGCTTTACTTACAGTGCTCGAATGCTAGGTGATCAGTATTGTCAAAAGGCCACTCTCTTTAACAACTCCGGTATTATCTTGGTACCGTTGGGTGACGATTTTCGGTACACCACTGTCGAGGAATGGGATAAGCAGTTGGACAATTACGGAAAGCTGATCAACTATTGGAACGCACATCCTGAGGAAGGAATTCGAGTACGTTGGTGGGATCCGCTTTCAAGCGGAATATAGTTATCGACGTTGTTTTTGCACTCTTCTAACTGCTGATCATTTATTGATGTAGCTACACTTAGTCGTGCGAAATGGTTTCTTTCTGCTCACTGCTGAAATCAGTTGTGGTGCACTACACAGCGGTATGACCATATTAGTGGTCAGAGACCTTACCCGAACTGGCTAAGTTGTGGTATCCTTGACACTGCATCGTTCAGTCTATAGCATCGCCTTGTTGACCTCTCAATATTATTCGCCTTACCTCCCCCCGCTGTCTTGCCGTGGAAGATGCCGGATTGTTTCACTTCATTTGAGTTACTGTCCAAGGTGGACACCGCTCGGTCAAAGAACTTCGACTGTGACATCTGTTGGAACCGTACTGTTTTCTTGCTGCCTCATCGCACTTTTCTGAATTTTACTTCTGCACATTTCGCCACTCTGTTAATGTATACGTCCCGATATCACTTAGTGACTTTGCAGCGTCATCCCGATTAATGTAGAACACCAAGGAACTTCTTGGCCAGTGTGCTCCTGTCGGTGCTTATGTATTTCTGAACAAAGGCTGACACGTTGTCCTCAACCGAGTCAGTCAGTATGCACTCGAATCTGACAGTGACATATGAAATAACGCAAAATAATAGTCTTCCATACCTAGACATACAGATCACAAGACGAGAGGATGGTTCGATCAAAAAGTCCGTCTACCCAAAAACAACACAGACAGGTCAGTATTTGTATTTTAGGAGATTCTCCCCCTATAAAACGCCAACGCTCGCTCGTCTGAACGCTGTTTCCTCAAGCCCACATCATTTGTACCCTGGACGCATTATATAAGCAGAGAAAGATTTCCTGTTGGAGGCGCTACAATCAAACGGGTATCTGAGGCAGTATACAAAACGTATTAGCGACATCCGCAAGCGAGATCGTGTCCCGTTAGTTCAAAAGAAGCAGATCTTCATCGAACTGCCGTTCAAATGTGATCACATCATGAAAATCACCGCAGAGCGCAATAGTGCTTCATTGAAAAGGTCTTACAATGCACTTGAACTACGTTTTGTCATGTCAACAAGACCACTGCTTATGTTTTCCCTCAAGGCAGCGATGACGAGGCAGTGCATGTCCCATTGCTTGTGCTTGTTCACCTGTAGCTGCGAAAACAGCTATATCCGGCGCACTAGCCGAAGTTTAGGTGTCAATGAGGTGTCAGTTTAGGTGTCAATGAGCACATTCCTAAGTTCTTACGCAGCCGGATGGGTTCGGTGACGGCGGAATCGGGTGAATTGAGAAATCGAGCAGCCTCGGTATTCACAAGGCAGTTGCTGTGCACGGAGTTAACTCCATCACCATCCTGATGCGCATTCAGCGACCCCACATCCTCAGGTTATTGGAAGTCATCGTCATCGATCGAGAGCGGTCGCTGCTTTGTGTGCAGAAACAGGTGTCTGTGAATGTTAACTTACCGTGGTAGTGGGAGGCCTGACGATTGGCTAACTGTTAATGTCATATGACCGCGTTTTGTTATCTCTGTGGTTTCTGCATGATTTGTGACTGAAGAGCTTGCACGAAATGACTGATTCATATCACTCTCTACGTCTTCAGATTTTTCCGTTATAGTCAGTCAATCAAAATAAGCTTTACGAACCTTTATGGGTTCATTATTGGGCCATGAAGTACTCGCCATGTGTCTGAATTGTGACACGGAATCTCGGTTGAGGCCACAGTCTGCTTTGAAGCAAATCTATGCCATTTCGATCACTGGGGCCGCATCCGAAGTGGAGAGTTTCGGAACTGCACTCCACGATCGACCGGTTTTGTTCTGATTTGGACTTATCTGGTACAGATAGCTTGAGCTGAGATGGAAGCCCAACACAATGGTTGACGGTTTTCTTCTTGGTCACTAAGCCACAACTCCACGGCAGCGCTTAGGCTCCCCTCTCAACTCAAGCTATCGCACAGTATGTTTTTGACTTTCTCTAGGCCAACAAGCAAATGTCATAGTTGAAGCTGGAGTGCGGGGGAATAAAATTTAAAAATTTTTATGTGTATAAAAGAAAAGAGGCATTTTTGAAGAGAACTTTGCAGTGGATAAAATCAGTCATATAACACTTTGGATGTCTGGAATTTTTCAAATCAACTAAAGAATCTCTAGACAGGTCGCTACATCTAGGAATGTGCTTTCTCGATGGTGTAAGATGTAGTTTGATGTATGATGACAGAACAGTATAACCAATGGGGCATAATGCAATAGTTAAGAAACTTGAATATTAAAGTATGGGGTACTGAAAGCACCTTAAGTCTGAGTGCACACAAAGAGAGTTTTCTGACTTTATGGAAAGCTTCACAGACATGCGTGGACCAAGAACGGTTCTGGGACAGAGAGACACCAAGATACTTGACCGTGGATTTTCTGGGTGTGGGATTTTCGTGCACAGTAAGCGTGGGGGAGATATCTATCAGGGACTGCAATTTATATTCACGGTGCGAAGCAAATATTACATCATTGGATGCAGACAACTCCACCAGATCTTATAATCCACGTTGAATAGATTAAGAATCCTGAGCAGGGATGGCCATACATCACTACTTAACATTGTCAGCATATTTGCATCCTTTAAGCGTGCTTTGTACAGAGACGTTCAACACCAAGGAAATAGCACAGGTGATATGATCGCTCCCTGCAGAACACGACGGTCGTCACAGAAGAGAGAGAGAGAGAGGGTTTCTGAACATTTACTTTGGTGAAGTGAGTATGATTCGCAAAATAGTCACGCAACAGGTTACACACACCAGGGGTAACTCCATTTTCTGATAGCACGTTGAGCAACATTGAACTATCCATGCTTCCAAATGCATTCGAAAAATCGTGGAAGCCGTACGAATTTACAAAGTCTTGTGCTGAAATGCTACTGCACCCACTTTAGAGCGCTGGGCTCTATGTACAAACTGGCAGACATCTTCCACGGAATTAACAGTATTTTTGATAACTTTCAGACGTACAAATGTACTCGCCATCGGGCGATACATTTGCGGTCCTTTTTTGCGTGCTAAGGATCAAATCCATAGTGAGGCATTTTGTTAAAGTGGTCTGTTAAAGGTAGAGACCGAATCAGCACACATTTCACAGTTAATGATGAGAGAGTATCCGGATCACTGGCTTTGGTTGACTTTAATCTTTTGAATGTACGCAGCTGGGCTTGAGCTAATTGTAGAGGGTAAGGGAGGTGTTCTTAGTGTGGTGGAACTTCCACATCCACTTCACCGCTCTGACTACAGATGCCCTTCCCACGGAGCCGCCTCTGAAAACCTCCATAACTCACGATAGTTATGCTTGCGTAGAACCGTTTCGATGTATAAGTACTTTAGCCTTTTTTATCTATGATTTAATTGCTGATGTTACGCTCTTGACACGAGTAGTCATCTTGCACTTGTAACCCGTTTTTTCATCCTTCGAAGTCGCTTTACCAGTGGTGACGAAAATCTACCTGCCCTTAGGTAGATCGTTTCAACTGGGCAACAGGTCGAAGGGATGGTTGATTTAGTTTTTTTTATTTGGTCCCTTGAAGCTACAGATCCTGGTCGTTGAAGACTGTAAAATCAGTCAAAGAATATATCGAACGGAGTCTTCGGAATGTTTCAACGGATCATTTTCGCCTTTTAATAAATTTGCAGTGGTTCCTAGTCAACGTGACAACATTAGCTATACTGTATATGACTGGACACAATTTAAAACACAGTGCTCTAACCTGCTCAGATGGACCCGTTCTTTGTGTGTAAACCAACTGTGGTTTGTTTATATGTACAGCGTCCAACTGGGTATCTTGTCTGGTCGAAAAGATCACTAGATTTACTAAGCTAAGTGTCCTAATGAATATTGTATCATTTCTATTAGTCGCCAGTAACATTAAGATAGAACAATCTAATTTCAGCAGTAGCATGGAAACAACTTGATCCTTCCAGTCTGACGCAGATGGGTCAGGAGCAATGTAGACGTTTCCAGCGATGACTGATTGAAAGCTACTTAAGAACTTCGGTTTCCATTCAATTAAATGTTAATCTATGGAAGTTGTTGTACATGTGAATATTACGGTTGCTGAATCACACCAATGTTGATTAACGCATTATAACATCACCACCATCACCTCGAAAACGGGGCTTTCCAGAGCGGTCTGACCTGATGGGAAAATAACCAACGAGTTTACTGAATCCATTTTCCACATCAGTATGCAAACCACTTTTTGTACCTGAATGTGTACTGTTTACAAACTCATTTGCTTGCCAGAAGCAAGCGCACATTATTGGAAAGTATCAATGGGATGTGCACTTTATCCACAGAACAACGAATAAGGCCATTTTGCCAACTAGCACAATGTTTTCGCTTTTTTCCAAGATGTTTCTACATAGTTCGTTTCAAGGAGCACCCGACTTTGTGACCATATTCGATGTATTTAGGACGATATCTCGGAATATCTTCAAAAGATTGAGGGAGTATGCCATGATTGATTTCGATACTAATTTGGAAAAACAAATTGTCTCAAAGATACAAATAAACCCTAAAATCCGCACTCGGAAGTGCATAATAGTATACCAAAGAGAACTGCAACGGCCAACATCAAAGGTCCTGCCAATTCGGCCAAAACCTATTTGGCAATTACTCAACAGTTAAATCGTTGTAAATTCTGTTTTCACCTCAAAGTTGCCGGGTAGCACGACTTATCGCGGCTCTAATGGTCGTCATTCCTTTCCTCTTTCCTATCAGGCACGTTTCGCAACAGTATCCGACTACTTCGTCGCTCTGCGTAGAAATTTGAGGGTGTCATCTTCGCCCACTCCTACCTCCACGAATTTGCCCCGGCTCATTGGTGATCTGTTCACCTACGCAGATCGAAATCAAGACTATTGGAGCGGATATTTTACCTCTCGACCTGTTCAGAAGCAGTTGGTGCGAGTTTTGGAGTCGGAACTGAGGTGAATAGTTTCAGTTCGCCACTCATTTTCCATTTCTCCCCTTTTCGGCGTTCACTTAAGGTGTTTCTGAAGTGTTGTTCTTTTTAAATTAGCTCCTCTTGTACACCAAACGTTTACGTTGCTCATTTGAGTAACTTCTAGGTTTCTAACTGTGTGCTCTTTTAATGGTAAGCGTGTATTTTTACTTTCGTAGTCCATTTCCTTCTCTTTTCCGTAACACTGAACTTGCAAAATATTAGGAGACATCAACAAAAATCGTTTGAAATCCTTCAGGTTATCTGATGAATAAATTATCGGACAAAGTACACAAACTTTAATAACATCGTCTCTCCTATATATTACAAACTGTTTCAAATAAATACTACGGCGGCTCACTGGAACCGCTTTTCTTTTAGTTGCTAATCCAACTAGTTACCTTGTCGGTGAACAGTGTTTCGAGGCGACCAGCTAACAGACTCGAAACTTGACCCAAATGGTGCAACTCGTTTGATTTCAGCCGACAGTGGAATGCTGCAACCAAAAGTTCACCTCAGTACAACTTGTTTAATACTGTGCGGACTGGGGTTGCCAAACGACCAGCTACTCATTGTGTCAACGCCAGTAGCCTTGTCTAAGCCCCGTTACGATTACATCCACATTGTGTTGCAACGCCCCGTATCCCGCTAGTGCTGATTGACGACGTCGCATCATCTCTCTCGTAGTTTAACCTTCAGAATTGATACGGATGTCTAGAGAGTGTAGGTCAAATCTGCCGAATAACTTACGCTTTTCGGCTTTTTCCTTCAGGGTTGTGCCTATGAGCCGGACCTATGCTCCTTATACACATCCATTTTACGCGACCTTATTATGTATACATTTTTTTACAAAATTGATGGTGGGCCAAACTGTTGCATCCATTAGTCCGAGTTTTATTTTGTATTTCTTTTTCCTTACCAGTCCTGTTTCAAACTCCGGCCTATCTCTCTTTTGTTCATCTTCTATCACAGGGCAGCTGAGATTCTGTACACGTATGCACGTCAGTACGTCTCCGCCACCTCTACGCACTCTACCTTGTTGTCAACCATTGACGAGTTCCACCCCAAGCTAACTGAGGCCCGGCGTAATGTCGCCCTGTTCCAGCACCACGATGGGATAACCGGAACTGCTAAGGAACATGTGGTGCAGAACTATCATGCAAAGTCAGTCGTTAGAGCACAGTTCAGTTTTTCTTGCAAAGTGCCATCTTTCTTCTTCTTACTGTGAACGCCGTTACTGGTAAGGTGTTTCGATTGCCTTTCCGTAGTGCTTCATAAGGCTGACCGTTTTGGAGGGGATGTACAGCAATATGCTGGTGTTAACATATTAGTTGCTAGTGTCAACGATTTAAATGCAAAATTCTGTTTCGGTTACGAATAAAGCACTGGAAGCCTTAGCATTCACCAGGTCATATGTTTAGACGGTTTGTTCCTTCAATACAAGTGTTTCGTTTTGAAGCATAGAATGGGCGTTTCCTACGGTGTCCCAAGCCCACACTTGACTGTCCATCTGAAAGAGACTGCGCCTAGTCGTGTTTTGCGTGACTCTCCTTTCCACTGAGCTGTTTCAGCTAACTGTAGTGAATCAGTTATAATGGCAATATACAAAAAGCTAGTCGCACCCACTATGCGAACCACAGGGGTATTAGTCTACCGTCAGTTGTGACAAAATAACTGTCCTCGATTCTCTTTCGTGGAACGGGAATCTCGCATTAGGGTAGAGCAAGCAGGCTTCCGCCAAGAACGCGGCTGTATAGACCATATGTTCACTCTACGGCAAGGGCTAGACCAGCGCCACGAATACCGCAGATCGGCAATAGCTGTGTTCTTCGATTCCAAGCGTGCGTTCGATTCCATCGATCGCTCTCTGGAGCCGTTTGAAGGCCGCAAAAATATCCCGGCGGAATCAGATTGCAACGAGCTGCGCCGTTCTTCCAACCGACTGCTCAAGCCTACGCGAGGATCGCAAGATATGGTGGTCTGAGTGTGCTTTCGAGATGAAGACCGCTGTCCTCTCTGGCAACACTCACAGGCTTTTCCAACTCATTCGGTCCACTGGCCTCAGGAAGCCTGGTGTCAGTGAGGTCATTTGTGAGGTGGATGTGTCCCCGGTTACCAACCAACAGAGGCGTATGGACCGCTGGGGCGAGCACTTTCACTCGCAGTTCAACTGGCCTCCACCATCCATCAGTACATGCAGTACACCTTGTGGTCCACGCTGGCTCGTCCCACTGAATCCACCCAGCGAAGCGGAAGTCTGCCTCGAGATTTGACGCTTGAAGCGGTTCAAGGCTGCCGGCTGAGAGAGAATTCCTCCGAAGCTATTCAAGTACGGCGGTGTGGCGATCATGAACCAGCTGACCGCGCTGTTCGCAAAAATCTGACATGAGCAGAAGGTGCCTTCATCTTGGGGCGAATCAGTTATTGTCCCAATTTTCAAGAAAGGTGCTCGCACTTCATTTGTAAATCATCGCGGGATCAGTCTTATTTCGGTTGCCCCTAAGGTATTGGAATCTACTCTGCTTCGCAGACTATCCCCAGTGCGTGAATCCTAATAGCATGAAGAACAAGCTGGTTTCTGTACCGGCCTCCGATACGTGTATCAAATCTTCACGCTCCGCCAGCTCCTCGAACATCGCCACATTTATCACAGGCCGACTATCGTTGCATTCCTAGACATACGTGCCGCTTTTGACTCAGTTGCTCGACCTGCTTTGGTCTATGGCAAGCTTTCCTCGCAATTCGCTGTCAATATCGGTGTGCTACAGGGCTGCCCTATGTCCCAATTCCTCTTCAACGTCGCAGTCGAGGATGTTCTGTCGAATGCTCTAGAAGGTTTCCAACATTTTGGCTTAGAGCTTCTATCGGGTGAGCGCGCGGCCGACTTAGATTATGCTGACGATATCGCCTTACTTAGTGACGATCCTCAGGATATGCAACTCATTCTGGATCGTTCGTCGGTTGAAGCATCTAAGGATGGCATGAGCTTCGCCCCATCGAAGTGTAAAGTACTGCTCAAGGGATTGGCTTTCACGTGCTCCCGTGCTCACTCTCGAAGGTGCATAACTTGCAAAGGTAGATAGTTTCGTCGAACTCGGGAGCTGTGTTTCTGCTGATGACACTATCAACAAAGAAGTTTCCTTTTGCATAACTGAAGCTCGATCAGCATTTGTCAATCTGAGGCACTTGTGGCGTCGTCGCGACGTTTCATTCTTGCTAATGGGCCGCGTTTACAGCGCATCAGTTCGCTCAGTATTGTTGTATGGTAGCGAGTCCTAGCAGATTGGCGTTTAAGACATGCGTCGTCTTTCTGCCTTTGATAACGATTGCTTAATGAGAATTGCTCGTGTTTGGTGGCAAAATCATAGTAATGACGTTCGACGTCTCAATTTGGCGAATGCGAGTATTCCCTTTAACAAACATGGTTTTGTTGTGTCAGTTGAGATGGTTCATTCACGTCCTACGCATGGCACCTGAGTGTCTACCGCGTCGCGCTCTATTCGCTCGTCAAGGACCTGGCTGTAGGCGACGGCGTGGTTTTCATCCTTCTACATGGCGGCAGCACATAATGTCCCTGACGTCTTGTCTATTCGCTGTTGGATCCGTACGTCTTCCAGGAAGTGGACCCAAAGTTGAGAAGTGCCCATGGCTTAACACTCTTGAAGATATGGCCCGCAACCGGAATCAATGGAAGAATTGTGTACGGTACTGTATTGAGACTGAGACTGTATTTAAGAGCAAGTAGAAAGGTTTCTGTACAACTCTATCGAATTACGAAAAATCAAAATTTACTTGTGAATTATCAGCAGTTGTGTCTGGTCTGTTGATCGTTTATCCGTGTTCGGTTAGAAATTTGTACTAGCGTCATTATTTCCGGACATACAATGTATTCTTTTGGCACTGTATGTGCATCGTTTCACAAAAGCACAGGTTTCCAAAATAATCGTCGATACGGGTTTTAAAACACTTCACAGAATCGGCCTCTATTAATCCTTCTGGTAGTGTATTCCATAAGTTTACGATTCTTCGTTCGATACAAAGCTGATGTGATACTTTGTTCATGCTGGGGACCCTGAGTTTGTAACGATGTCCTCGGGTGTTACAGGGTTCTCGCAGGTCAAATATTGGCCGTAGTATGGGGAAGTGATTCAAGTGTAGTACTCGATGGGTCATAATAAGATCAATTCTTACTCGGCGATAGGATAGTGTGTAGAGTCCGAGCTTTTCACAACGTTTTTCATATGGAAGCTTTCGTAGACTTGGTATCATTCTAGTTGCGATATGCTGTATTTTCTCCAATTTTTCACTTTCCCACTGGGTTATCGGATGGTAAGCTGGGGCACCGTATTCAAGGATTGGTCTAATGAGCGAGGTGAATAGACGAGGGACGGTTTCTTCGGACCATGTGGAGAAACTGCGTCTTAATGCCCAGAGCATACGAAGTCCCGCACGGTACAATTTCTCTGTATTTTCTAGTGATCTTAAATCATGTCGTGAGAGAACTCCTAAGTCTCTGACAGATGTGTTGGGATGGAGCAACTGGCCGTCCAAGGTGTATGATCGAGTGGCTGGACGTCTGGTGATACTGATAAACTCCGACTTGCTTGCGTTAAGAGGGAGTTGCATTTCAGTGGACCACGTTGACAGTCGCTCTAAGTCATGCTGGAGGCGAGCGCAGTCGTCCTGGTTTTCAGTGATCCTCCAGATTTTCAAATCATCTGCAAACAGAACACATGGTGACTGGAGCTGCTGCGGAAGATCGTTGATATGAATAAGAAATAATGCTGGCCCAAGTACAGTTCCTTGAGGCACGCCACTGGTCGATGGGAACCATTCTGTCAGATAGTCATTGACCTGTACTCTAAACCTTCGTCCCACAATAAACTCTTGTATCCACAGAAGTAACGTGCCACCGATTCCGTATGTCCTCAGTTTACGAAGGAGTACCTCGTGGTTCACTCTATCAAACGCCTTACTAAAGTCGATGTACACCACGTCAACATCCTTCTGTTCATTGAGAGCTCGAACCCACTGGTGGTTTGCGTACATCAAGTTGGTGATGCAGGATCGCCCTTTCGTAAAGCCGTGTTGCGCTGGCGTCAATATGTCCATCGATTCGAAGAACGACAGCAGACATTTTTTCACAACCTTCTCGAGAACTTTGGATAATACCGAAGTCAAACGGATCGGTCTATAGTTCTCTGTTTTACTCTGATCACCACCCTTGGGAAGCGGTTTAACTATCGAGCATTTCCAGTCGTTCGGGACGGATCCTTCAGAGAGCGATCTATTGAAAAGGTTTGTCACAACTGGTGAGATGATAATCGATAGGGACTTGAGTATTAGTGGGTGAACTCCGTCTGGCCCGGGGGGTTTTGCACCATTGAGGTTGACGAGTAGCTGATGTACTTCGACTGCATCACATTGTAGGCTGTCGAGCAAGACTGGCGCAACCTGTGCTGGTACTGGAACGGCCGCCGGTTTACTGGAAAATACAGTAAGGAAGTGCGTAGCCAGGGCGTCCGCGCGCTCCGCGCTTGAAATGAGTGTCTTGCCGTTTAAGCTCTCTAAGACCGGTAGGTCGTCTCCAGGTTTCAGTTGACGTTTCAAGTAGGCAAATATTCGCTTGGGTGCAGTTGCGGCCGAGGATGCTAGTTCCTCTTCGAACTGCCGGCGTTTCTTGATCTTTGCGGCGTTACATAAGTTACCCTGTTTCTTGTACACCGCGTACTCTTCATCACAACCCGAGCTGATGTATTTATCCCAAAGTTTACGACGTCGTCGCGCTAACTGTCTGTATTCCCTATCAAACCAATGCGGTTTGACAGGTCCGATTTTTGGATACTTAAGGGGAACGAACCGAGTACAGAGCGATTTAAGCTTCCCCTTTATTAATGACCACCACGCCTCAAGTGACGCATCATGTGGTAGTGTCCAATCAGTCTGACTTGCGGCTTGGACGAGTCCGTTGAAGTCCGTCTTCCAATAGTTGAATGTCGGCTTCTGTTGATTGTAATATGGTAACGACAGTTCTAAGCTTGCTACAATAGAGCAGTGGTCAGTGTTCGCCAGAGGTTCGATGACTCTGATCTCTTTTAGCTTCTGCTCGCAGCTCGTAAACATTAGGTCCAGACAAGATGCCGAGTACGGAGTTACGCGCGTCG